CACTGTGCTTTTATCTCACAACATACAAACCGCCAGAATCAATATTTGCGCGCCGGCGGCCAGGTCGCGCGGACACGAGTCTAAAGCAAGGTGTATGAAATAAAGCGACAACTCGAAATATGCAAATTATCTGTCAAAATATCATAAAACATAATATCTACAATTATCAATATATGAGTCTATGATTAATGGTTCCAACACCACTCTAGTTAATTACCCTTTTTTAAAATAGATTATTATTACAATACCCACCGTATGCTATGACTAATAACTATGCACTAATAGTCTTATCTACCAATGAGATGACAGACTGATCCTTCTCTAATCCAAAAAAAAAAAGAGAAATAAGATATCTGTTGTCGAATCAAGCGAAGTGCATGTATATAACAAGCTGATATGGGTGTATCGGTGATATCGTGGTGTGTATACAATATATACACACCTATATACAAGCGTACACATGCAGCCACGACACTTACACCAAACAACGCTACCACACCGGGACTTACACCCACGACAACAACAGCCTGGCACACACACACCGTACTTCCTACGTACCAGGACACGTCAATCTCTAAACGCATTTCACCATTCCACTTATTGTGCGCATGTCTTGGACCCTTTTCTGAAAATGAGAGTTCTCGGACAGCGAGTTCTGCTGGCGCGAAACTTTGCTCTGGAATCAGCTGTGTTAAAAATCCAAAACAGTCTGAGGGATTAGTGAATTCAGTTCTATATATCCTATATGAAAATGTCATGCGATACAATTACATAATGCATACATACATTACAACAATACATACAATATTACATACATACATACAACATACATATAATTTACATATATATATATATATATATATATATATATATATATATATATATATATATATATATATATATATATATATATATATATATATATGGATATGAATGTAAGTATGTATATAATGGATGTATGTAAGTGCCATATGTACAGAGGAAAATGACTTTGGCAGAAGGGTCTATGGGGGGGGGGCTTCCTCCCATCTACTGGTACTGGCGCTTATATGATCTTTGTTGAGGCAAGATGGAAAGAGAGAGAAAACGGGGAGGGACAAAGAGGAAGATAACACGGCAACTTCGAGCTGTGAGCTCCCTTAAGAAAGCACGTGATCCTTGTCTTTGAGAATGGATAACACACTGTAACACCTGTACTCTCTCTATGGGGGGGGGTTGGTTATTCATCGTACATTGAAGGCTTTACGGAAGGCAGAGTATAGCAGCAGCTACTGTGCTATGGGAGTCTTGTGGTTCTGCCTTTCTGTGAAGAAGGGGGCGGGGTATATGGAAGGAGTATTCATTGCCAGTAAAGAGCCCAAGAACATCAGGCGGTGCAATCAGCCATCCCTCTGCATGGAAGAGCTTGGAAATCATCAATGACAAATCGGACACTAGCAGGCAGTCACAAAAGGAGCTCTTGTGGAGCAGTATTGTGAGAGAAGAGCAGAAAGACGGAGCCAGCCACGCCCCGCAGTCACAAAAGGAGCTCTATTGTGGACAGTATGAGAAAGAGCGGAGCAGCCAGGCCCGCTACGGCAACGTAACGTGTGCGTGGTCACTAGCCAGGCTTACTAAGAGTAGAACAGAGTGGGGTCGCTATAGAGTGGGGTCGCTGGTGCTAGGACTGGCAAGGGTCACTAGATGGCTGGATCACAGTCGCTAAATCTGGGCAGGATCGCTCCAAGGGTCACGGGTGCGATATTGCAAAGAGGCAACAAAGCTCCGAGGGAAAAGAGTGTTCTCGGACTAATAGATAGCAGACTCTCGTTTTTTTTTTGTTTGTTTGTTGCTTGAAGTGAAGGCTCAAGGGGGAACTTGGCTCTTGGTGTGAAACAACTAGTGCACGCGGCTTTGCGTGTGGGAGAGAACTCACAGGGGCACGTCACGTACAGATCGATTCTAATTGGGTACTGAAGAGCTTGGAGTCTCTGTCATCAGTGCTGGTGTTGCTCTGCTGAAGAAGAGGGAGGTGACGGCAGCACACCTCGAGTGGCACAGCTGCCTCGGTACAAGACGCACATACCATCTTTGATCCCACCTCAGGTCACCTTGACCGACCTGCTCAAGATCCCCGTCCTGCAAGGCGGGTCGCGCTCGCTCGTCTGGGCGAGGCGAGGTCACGACGCCGTCCAACTTTCCTCCCTCAGGGGCGCGGCGGCCGCCTTCTGGGCCGGCGCGGGCGGCCCGTCATGTGGCGAGATCAAGGACGGTTGTCGCGTGCGTGCGGGAGGGCGGGGGAGGGGTGCCAGTGTGTAGGGGGGAGAGGGGAGACACAAGTAGGTGCGGGAGGGGCGACGGGGCGAGGGGCGCGGCGGGGAAGGGCGATACTGAAGGAGGTGTGCAGCCTGGGGGAGGGGGGGGGTTAAGGGCTTTCGGGGGTTCGCATTCACAGATAAGAATAGAGTAACAACTGCAGCCAATAAAAAGGAGACTTACAAAGAACACAGAGGACAGTATC